GGAAACGGTGAAGTAGTAAGGCTTATTTAAGTAGAGTTATCCTGCCCAGGATTTGACTAAACCATTTTTGGTGCAGGGTATGTTGAGTTTTCAGCAGGCAGTACCAGTTCCGAGTTCCCAGATGTTTCCAGGAGTGTTTCTCAAGCATGTTTCCAGCCCATGTCCCGTACCAAGGCCAGATAGGGCCATGCACACACCATCTGCACACTCTGCTCCTCATTGTGGAAACCACGTGAATTCCAGAAAGGAATCATGGTGCAAGTAATAGATTCCCAGTCTGGATCATCAAGATACCCAGGCATCAGGGTATACCGAGACTCACCTCCACAACCGAGCGTAGGTGCTGATTCAAGGGCTTGTGTACTTTAGCCAGGTGGATGTGGCAGTTTTGTGTAGTGCAGCCTTCACCACTGTGACTCTGCCTGGATTTCTAAGCTGGAATCTAACGTGCAGTCTGTCTCAATACGTCCTTTTGAACTGCTGTGACCTTCAGGTTTCTAATTTTTCCTGCGGAGAGTACTGAATGCCTAAATCACTGTAAGAATGCGCGCCTTGGACACTTTAGGTATTTTGAAAGCTGCAGAGCAGAGATTAAGTGTTGGGAATGTTTTTTAAGTGTTGTGTGCTACAGCAGCAGTTCACAGTCCTGAACTCAGTTTTTGGCATGTTTAAAAAAGATCAGTTGCTTTTAAGCTGAAATTTGCTATTTGCACGTTCAGTTAGTAATTTGCTTCCTTAACTTATTTTGTACTTACATACACACGTTTCTTTGAAATATTACCTTTAGTGTGAAATATTACCTTTGAAATGTACTTCACAACATACATTTTTCAGAAATTTTCACTGTAGAAGTCTAATAGAACTCTTAGCACTGGTAGTTTTGCCCAGATTTAATGATTTTTTTGTTTATTTATAAATTAAGAATGGGAATTGCTGAATAATATAAAGTCCATCTGGAAACAGATTGGGTTTGGTATTTAATAAATACCCTGATCCATCTTTGTGCATAATTCTGCTGCTTTCTTTTAAGCCTCATTATGCTTTTGAAGGAGCATATTTTTTTCCACATACAAGTACTGAAAATTCATATATTGAGAAGCACTTCTGTTAGTTATATCTGGAGTAAAATGCACAGCAGTGAAAAAGAATTAAAAGGATTCTATAGAATAATGTCATAGAGTTTCAGGTCTGTTACTAACAATTCATGTCAACTTTGCTCGGTCCACAAGTTCAGTGACTTCTTGTAGCCTAAGAGAGGGTCCAACAGATGTTCAACTTGGTTTCTTAGGACTTGGATATTTTCTTTTCCTTTTTAAATATATTTCTACTGATCTTAAAATTTCCACAGTCTAAATTATGGTATCAGAAATACTTATGTTATTGTTAAGTAAAAGGTGTATGAAAATGCTACAAATAGAGAGGATTCAGTAATAGGTAGTCAGATACTATACATATACTATAATTTTTTATAGTGACTTTTCAGAACAGGACCATAATTTAAGGATTTTAGTCAGTTAATTAATTATTGCGTTGGGGAAAATATTCAGCTATAGTTTTGCAGTCTTAGTTCTCTAGGGATGCTACAGGGATCTGTGTCGCTACAATACCTTTATTCCTTTCTGCTTTTAAAACTTTAATTCCAGTGATATTCCCATGGATCAAAGGAATCCTGATGTAATTGTAATGGACTTGTAATTTTGTTTCAAATAATACTTGGCCTGTAATGAATGTAACCAAAACATATTTTATTCTTCAAGCATTATAGATAACATTTTAGGAAACTCTCAGGACTAGCTTTTAATTTGTATATCCAATCAAAGCAGATTTCATGGCAGGTGCATGTCTGAATGTTAAACACAGAGATTCTCTACAGATTTAGAAGGTGCTGTTTTAACATGTTCTTTTATCCATGGTTACATAGCTGAGTTTTAAACAGTCTGCAAATCTCTCCCTAGACATATAACTACCTGGCTTGCTAGACAAGCATTTTAAGCAATTATACATCTGAATTCAGTGATTTGTACTCACAACTAGATGCATACAATCATGTCACAAAGATGATTGCAGGCATAAATTACAAGTCAGTTGTAAAGGATTGGCAATAAATGTTTTTCTAAAATAAATTGCAAAGTTTCTTTCAAACTTTAAACCTCTCATAAATGTGTTACAAAATGAAAGAAACAATTGCAGATATATTTAGAAGTGCAATAAATGTAGCGAGATGGAAGTAGCTCTTGTTGGGATGAGGAATATGGTATCAAACTTCAAAGATAACTTCATGTATGCTTCAGCAGGCCTGGTTTTCTTTCAGAGAACATGGTATGGAGCTAACAGTGCTAAGTTCTCGTCTGATTTAAATTTGTGCAAATGGCTCAGATCAACTGCACATACTTGCAATAGACAAAGCTCAAGCCCAACACTTTTCTACCTCTTTAGTTCTATTATTCCACAAAGAAAAGAAAAAGAATGGAGAGCTGTATTAACACAATAAGTTTTCAGTTGAGAAGTATAAGGAGTTATCAGCATGCAGATGACAGTGGAATCAGCTGTGAGAGGACAGGGTTGACAACATAACATACATATATCAGCCGACTAAAAAGAAAGAAGGGCAGAGATAACCGATTTCTCCCATTTGAGAAGTTCTCTGATTATAACATAGTCCAGCTTTTGAGAGCTGTTAAAAGGCAGAGATAATGGTTATTCAGGAAGGGGTCAAGATACTAAGTAGAGAGCTGGTCCATCATCAGTTCCAGTGAAAAGATTTGGAACAATTTTGCACTGTCTGGTGGCACAGTCTGGCTAGGAACAACAGCATGGGACAATAGAACTTACTAAGGTTTATGGAATTTCATTACAAATGCTGCAGAGTGAAGAGGCCTTACTTTGTTTATGTTGAACAAGAGAGTTTGATTGCCCTACCCATCTACAGTTACAGTTGGCTTGGAAAACAAGGAGACCTGTAGCCTCTCACTTCGGCAGCACAAGATTCTATATCTAAAGGATTTTCTTCCAGCTCATCATTTTGATTTGTGGATCAAATCATACTTGATCATCAGATAGAAATCCATTTGAGAACTGATGCAATATGCCACCAATATGGATCTTCTTACATCCTAAAGAAAGGATCTAACTGAGCCAGCTATTGATTCAAAGTCATGCTCCCAAAATGTAAATATAGTTAAGTATATCTTTTAGAAACAATTGGCATATTCAAATCTAAGTTATGCACACATTAGATCTCTAAGTGCATAAAGATGCACAAAATTAGATGGGAATATAAAATATCAGCAAGTTTCAATTTACCACATTTGGATGATGTATACTCAGGTTTATGTTGTATTGTTTTTAGCGTATGTTCTGAGCCAATTGTCTGTGATCGAAAGTGGTTAGTAAAGGGGTTTTTAGGAGAAAAAATATTGAGGAAAAAAGGCATTAGAAAAGAGATAAAATTAATAATGTAAACACCTTTTTTAAAAACCTGTTATCACAGAAAATATATATAAACCAAGGCTGAAATGATCCCTCTCACTTTATATTTATAATGGGGAGTAAATATCAGGAAAGGAGTCGCACTGTATGCATAAGTAACACTGACATAAGGACAGAGGACTATAGGAAGTTCATTAACATTTCAGATTGAAAATTAAGCATTCAAGAAATTAAGTTCATAAAAATCACAGGATCAGGTAAGTTGGAAGAGACCACTGGAGGTCATCTAGTCCAACCCCCTGCTCAAAGGGGTCCAGTTAAAGCAGGTTGTTCAGATCCATGTACATTCAGGTTTTGAATAGCCCCAAGGCTGGAAACGCCACAGACTTTCTTGGCAACCTGGTCCAATGCTTGGTCACACTCGTGTGAATATTTCTTCCAGCCAAGAAGAAGAGCCATCAGATGTGAAGAGCCATCAAATGTGAGTGTTTGTGTGGCAATTAAGAGTGACAATTATCATACTTAGTCTCAAGAGAGTGTTGATATATTTGTAAACGGGACCAAATGTTCATGGATTAGTGTTCAGAATATACTACCTGACCCTGCATCCTATATATCTATGAAAGAAGGCCCTTTAAAAGCTCTGTTCATGAAGATATTAATGATATACTCCAAACGCAGGCAAGAATGACATGCTGTCTTTGAGATCAAAAGAATTACTGACTTCAGTAAGTCTACAGATGCTCATTTCTAAAAACTTATAGATGAAGGAGAATGTACTAGATGGACAGAGAAAAATAAATGTGGTACAGATTTCCAGAAAAGAAAAGATTGATACTGACAACTATGAGGCCATAAATATTATCTGAATGCCTTGTAAAACAATGAAATAAATATTCCATCATTAATAGCTGGGATAAGAGAGCCATGAACAGTAGGCAGTGAGGCTTTAGAAGAACTGTATCTCATCAGTCAAACTTCATTGCTTGTTTTGATGCAATTACAAAATTAATGAGCAATGGGAATGAAGTAGATCATATATATTTGGATTCTAGTGAAGCATTTGATACAGCATCTTAGGAATTTTCAGTTTTAAAATTTGATTCAGTACTGCCTTCAATAAGATCATGATCATGCAGGTTGTAAACTGCCTAAATGAGTACAAAAAATAGAAATAAAAACCAGCAACATATTAAGAGGAGGAATCTAAAAGAGTTGGCATTTGTTAGCAAGAGTTGGCAAGAGTTACATTTGTTTAATGTCTATATTAGTAAGCTGAAAGGAAAAGTAAAGAGCACACTAATGAAATCTGAAGATAGTATTAAATTGGAAGGAGTGTTCACATCAATAAAGAAAAAGATAAAGTGGAATTTGAGAAATTACAGACATGGTAAAACTGAAAAATGTTATTCATCTTAGAAATATGAAAGCCTGTTCACCTTGAGAAAATAATCTGAAACACTGGTATGTTGGAAGATACTGGTATTTGTAAGTCACAAGAAAGCAGACAAATTCAGAAGATTCCATGATGTATTATCATTGGTACATATAAAAGTGATTTTAAGGGACAGTAACAATAGTTTCTCCATATGTGCATGAAAACAAGTTTCAATTCAGGTGATGGAACTAGGCTGGAAGAAATACTGCAAAGCCAGATGCATTCAGAGGAAAGGATAAATAAGGAGGCCAAGAGGAATGATGTGCAAGCAGTGACTAAAACGGGACAGAATTCAGCTGGTTCACAGAAAAGTCTTAAAATTAAAAGATGATAGAGCATACTTAGGGCAAACTTGCCACATTTTATGTATTTTCCAGTGATGAGAGCATCCCTTGAATGGACATTGGATCCCTTGACTGGACATTGCTGAAGACATTTTATGATTATAGGGACCGTTCTTTTATTGTTCTTAGAAAACATGGGATCCCAAAAAGGCAGATTCAGGAAGAGCAGTTATGAATCAAGTACCAATCTTGTGGTCTAATAAATGAAAATATCTACCATCAGCAAGGGGAGTAAAGTAAAAGAGAAATATCATGTGTGATATTAAGCAATGCAAGAAATTTTAAAAAATAAAAATTAAAAAAAGGAAAAGAAAAGGGCAAATGCTCCATTACAGCAAATTGTAGTTCCTGCTGGGTCCCTAGGAAAAGTTCTTTCTAAAAAGTCACCTCAGAATCTTAACTGTGTGTCTGCTCCTTCTCTTTTCAAGAGACTAAATACCCAATCTTGTTTCAGGCTGCCTGCTAGCCGAGCTCTCACACTGTCTGTCGCACCTTAGAAGATGTTTTAGCCATGTATGCCCAAATGCTGCTAGGCAGTAAGTGAACATCCTTCTCTTCAGAGACTCTCTTGCCACCTTGATTGCTAGGACAAAGCAAATCCTCACATTTCTGCCAGCTGACCTGCGCCATTGTCATAAAGAAACATAGCATATAATAAGCTGCAAATAAATAAAAATGAAACAAGGTCCATCCATTGAAATGATGAGCCTATTCTCACCTGTATTTTCTACAATTATATTGTGCGACTGACTCAGAAGTATGCATTACCTTCAGCCAGCTACTTAGAATATTCCCTCTCCCCTGCAAGTATTACTAATATTCTGAAATTTAGTCTGTGGATAATACCAGGAGGGGGCCTTTGGAAACTTCTCCAGTTCCCATTTTGGTATCATTAGTAACACTCAAAATCTTGTTGCAGGCAAAAGGGAACAAACATATGTAGAGCTAAGGGGGTTTTGTTAGTCTAATTGAAATCCTAACAGGCTAATCAAGAGAGAAGTATCTATTGTTAGTTCAGTTACAATGCTACCAACAATCACAAACCAAATTAATACAGAAAAGCTTCATTAATAATGCAGGTAAAATTGTTATACAAAAGCTTCCTACTATCTCCCCCTTTTCTCTGATATTGCACTCCCTGTGCAATGTTCCTCCTAAGATGATGGTGCCTATCTTCCTCAAGCAAAATGGGGGATGGGTTACAGTGAGACATCGGCATCCTGGGTCATCAACAGGAAAAGTGTAATGTTCAGGGTGGGGGTTGCTGCCTCCTTGGTGTTGAGTACACTTGGTTTTATTTTTATATGCATTTTAACACAGTCTGCTCACGTGCCCTTTCTTTTCTTTGGTTCCCGATCAATCAGTTTTCTGTTAGCTCCACAGCTGGTTTTACTTGATTTACAAGGTCACAAGCATGTAGCGACCACTGATTGTGATTTGTTGTGATTGTGATTTGCGGTTGTATTAACTGCAGTTTGTGTTTCTTGTGTGGGACCTCTGGTATTATCCTGTGTCTGCACTCTCCCACATTGCATTTTAATCTGCAGACAGAAAGTTCCGTTCACACACAGAGCAACTACTTGTTTTTACTGTAAACTAAAGCTAAACTAAAACACATTTAGGCTGCTACATAATTGCTGTCACAACTGAAACAAATCAGTACAGGGAGACAAGTCCTGAGTCCCCACACTGTCAGGTCAACACAAACCTTGTGGCCTTTACTAGTAATGGCATATTTACTGAAAAATATCACCACAAAAGACTATGCCTTCCATACTTCAGCCTAACACACTGCAGCCAGGGTTACCAGGCAGATATTGCTTGTTTGCCGTGCCTGATAAACTAAATGACAGCACTTCTTGGAGAGCTTTCTTAGCTTTGCATAAGATGTAATAAAGATGTAGTAACTGATGTTATACTGTCACTAAGTTCCATAAATATATCTGCTTTATAAAAAAAACCCAGTGCTTTATAAAAAAGTGCTTTATAAACTCCACATCATAAAGAACAGTAAGCTGTCACTTTATTAAGGAAAAGACACTAAAGGCAAAAGAAAAATTACTGGACTGTGAGTGTAGAGATGTTTCTATCCATCTTATTCAGTCAGTCTAATGCTAGTATCTAAAAGGAAAACAACTTTCATGAACTCTGAAGACAACCATGTTTTCTCATCTGACACTCCTAAGTATCATTTATGATCTGACACTTCATAAGACCTGGCTCTTCACCTCTTTCTTTCAGTGATATGTACTATCTAGTGGATTCTTAAAATGCAAATTATGAGTTTCAAAAATGAGAAAGGAAGATAAATGGCCATATATACCATCTTATTCTTGTCCATCATACATCTGTAAGATTTGGTTATATTAGCTATAGTTTAATTTCCAGCTCCATCATGGTCAAAAGGGTTATTTCAAGAATGTATTTATTTCTGTGTTTTTTCTCTTTTAACACTATATTTTATATTAATCTTTCTTGTTAGTCTTGTAATTATTGAATTGCAGTTGCTAGCAGCAATAGCTAGGAATCATTTCATGTATGAGTGCAAGTGATCATTGTCATCTTTTCACAAGACAATGGGCTTTAGGATAATAAACAGATACGGATCCATGTAAATTTTAAATAAAGAAAAATAGTCTGCTTTTAAATTTAAGTTAAAAAAAGTTAAATCATTTTTTCAAAGGTAAACATGACTGAGGGAAGCCCACTGGTGAAAATTATTAAAGTGGACAGATTGCAACCAAAAAGACCAAAAAAAAGAAGACAAATACCTAAATAACCTGTTATAATGAAGGAGCCCTAAGAATCTTCATTTCTTCCTAATATGCACTGATTTTTCTTCTTCCAAGCCAATGACGGTGTGCCTAGCAGCCCTTTTTCTAGCTATAGGTGGTTGAGTTACATGGGAAGCTAACATCACTGCAGCTCAGATCCTTATCTTGTGGGACTTGCTTAGTCAAAATTCATTGGAACTGAAACAGTCCTTTGATTAAGGGTCAACACAAATGGAAAGCCCATATTGCCTCTTTCACTTCCTTAGAACACTCCTAGGAGTGTTCTCCTAGGAGGATGTTGTAAAATGTTGGAAAATTACTTTTCTTTCTTGTTCTACATGCTTAATGCTTCCAGCTATCAGATACTGGAGTGTAACAATGAAGCATCCAACAGAGCACTGGACTTTTTGAGCATCTCAATGTGATTGAAAGAAGTAGAGTTATTGATCATAAAAAAGTAAAATCTTACACACAAAGAGCAAAAAAGGCAGTTAGTTTATTTTTAGTCCATATCAGTAAAAGAAAAACACAGAATCATTTGTCTCTCCATTTCAAGAGATAGTCTTCCAAAACTGTTGAAACCACCAAGGAAACATAAAAAAATTTATTTTCTTTTTTGTCATAAACCATTTTCGGTGCTGCTGGAGAGAATGACATAAATTTAATACCTTTCTCCCGAAGCTGTTTGAAGACATTATTGTATTTCTTTTGCTTCTGAACTGTTGTTCTGAAAATACTTTGAAGGAGATGGAGAACTGTCCTGGTTTCGGCAGGGATAGAGTTAATTTCCTTCCTAGTAGCTGGTACAGTGCTGTGTTTTGGATTTAGGGTGAGAACAATGTTGATAACACACCGATGTTTTAGTTGTTGCTAGGTAGTGTTTACACTAGTCAAGGACTTTTCAGCTTCCCATGCTCTACCGACTGAGAAGGCTGGAGGTGCACAAGAAGCTGGGAGGGGACACAGCTGGGACAGCTGACCCAAACTGGCCAAAGGGATATTCCATACCATGTGACGTCACGCTCAGTATATAAAGCTGGGGGAAGAAGAAGGAAGGGGGGGACATTCGGAGTGATGGCGTTTGTCTTCCCAAGTAACCGTTACGCGTGATGGAGCCCTGCTTTCCTGGAGATGGCTGAACACCTGCCTGCCAATGGGAAGTAGTGAACGAATTCCTTGTTTTGCTTTGCTTGCATGCGCGGCTTTTGCTTTACCTGTTAAACTGTCTTTATCTCAACCCACGAGTTTTTCTCACTTTTACCCTTCTGATTCTCTCCCCCATCCCACCGGGGGGGAGTGAGCGAGCGGCTGCGTGGGGCTCAGTTGCCGACTGAGATTAAACCACGACAAGAACACACAACCACCTTCAGAATGAATTGGTTGCTTTCATTGCTGAGAAGAGTGCCATATTATCTGTAACATGTTGTAGGTAAATAACAATTGGTATAATGCACACAGTTTAGAATAAACAGTATAGTTTGAAATCCAAGTGAAAGATTTACTAAAGAAAAATGATCCTGCATATTTTTGCATCACATGCTCTTGAATTAAAAGTAATTAATTGAGCTTCTCCCCTTCCTGACTGTTCTAGTCTTTATTTGAGAGCCACCACCATCATTGCCCTTACACTTGCATGATCATCAAGTAAACCACAATATCAAAATAATGTTTTATAATTCTTTTCTATAGCATGTGTCGGTGTTCAAAATACCAGCTCATAGTGAATCAAGCCTAAGATCACAACAATGCAATGTTTTTCACTGTTATACCAAAAATATGCTTTCAAAATGTAATATATTTATGTGTGTATGCTTATGTACATGTGCATATTTTTAAATAAGGTGAACAAATATTATAGTACTTGTGGCAGGCAATTCAGTCCTCAGAAACAGGGAACAAAAAAAATCAGAGACGTAGGTAAGTAAATCTTTGAAGAACATCAGTGAGCAGGCTATATTCCAATGTAACAGTCTCAGAGACATTAAGGAAGAAGAAAATCCTGCAGCATGTGGAGTTAAAGATAATATG